TTTTAATGCAGAAGCTCATGCAGAAAGCTCCTGTTTTCAAACCAATTAGCAGTACAGATGAGCTAGCAAGTCCTGTGCCATTTATGGGGTGGGGGAAGGGYAGAAGTCAAATAATCTGTGTTTTTAAGTGTTTCTGAGAAATGAAGACCTCCAGGGCAGAGAGAGAGAGGGYGGATCAGGAAATAGCTATGCAAATCACATGCCAATGAAATTACTAAAACTTTGATCAGGGGCATTAACAATGCTCCAGCATTCACAAGTATGAAACAGGAGTGAGTAAGACTGGGCATGTTTTGGAAGAGATTACGAGAGTGTTTACTTACATGGTTTGTTGAGCAGTCAATGAAGTCCATGGCTGTTTTGGACTTAAACTGCCCAAGCAGTCCAGGTATGACAAATGTGGTAATACATTCCACTCTCATGAGTGGCTCTTGGGGATCTCAATGATTTTGACCAAGAGCCCAAATGACTGGATTTTATATAAAAGTCCCCACCACCACCCTCTTTCTAACAACCTAAGTGCTCACCCTTTGGGGAGGTAAAACTGGGACCTAGAATCTGTGACAGCATCGTTCATTGGAAATGCTAAATTGTAGTTAGCGAAGCAAGCAATGTGGGGTAATGGTTTGGGCTAAAGCAAACTTGGAAACTTAGAGCCCATGACATCCAGTGTGATCTRCCTGATAAACTGGAGGACATCCATCAGTGGTTGGTAGTTGTTCTGGGCTGTGTGGTCTTGGTGGCATTTGGAAGTGAGGGCATTTAAATCTGTCTCTAGCATCTTGGCTCACAACTCCAGACACATCTTTTCAAAGCCTTTATTTGGGGGTGGGGGGAGGAATAAAGGAAACCGTCAGAACAATTACCAAATAACCACTCTGACTGCCTTGTTTTGCTATGTCCATTGCTTGAAATTCATTATTTAAAGTTTGGTTGTCCTGCAGGATCAAGTTGTTCTTGTTAATGGCCCTGTGTGTTTGTATCTCAAACAATACAACTGCTTCTTAAGTATTTCTGTTGGGTGTGGAAGAGTGTTTATAAGAAAACTGAATAAAAGTAAAACTTGTCTTTTTGAATTTGCAGAAAGATTTAACCAATTAAATGGACATTGAGTACTGACAGGCACTCCATGGAATAAAACTGTGGATTTGAAATAAAATTTTCAGATATCATTTACGAATTCTTAAGTTAAAGTGTTGGCTTTAGTAAAAGCCAAAATGAAGACTGAGAGTTTTTGGTTTCTGTTTTTTTTCCCCCAAGTATTTGAAAACTGAAATTCTGTAAGAGATTATCTGTGAAATGCCTTTCTTTTATTACACCCATAAATTTTAGGAGTGGCTTTGATCAAGCATTCTGCCATTCTTGGTTTCTAAATCTTTTACTCATACGTTAATAACTTTAAAAACATTCATCCTATTTTTGTTGTAGTGAAAGAGGAAGTTTCTAAATAGTCAAAAGGGAAACATTGAAAATAGAACAAAGTAAATGGTAACTAAATTAGGTTTTTTTTTTTTTCCTTCTTCCAGAAAGGGCAATGCTCCATGCTGGAACTTGCCAGAGTATTTTAAGATTATTGTCTATAAAGAAAATCTACCAGAGAATTATGATCCTCAACAGAAAGGCATTACAGAAATGCAAAGTATTATCAGGAACACAGACTATACATAGACCAATGTTTGTCAGAATCTAATACTTCAATCAGTAGAGTTTTTTTTTTCTTTTCTGACTTGTGTATAAAATATACACATAGGTGCACATGCGCAAGCACACACGCACAACTTGCAAATTAAATGAGTTAACGCTCTGTCAGCTTCCTGTAGACAYTGACCCTGGGGGTCAAACTCTTAGGAAAATTACCCCTGGTTTTCCATTCCCAGTTCCCAGTCCCCGCCAACCCGCAGTCTCACAAAGAATTTCTCGAGAGAATATGTAGCTGCATTGGCAACAAAAATCCTCTCTGCAAAATGGGAAGAGAGAGTTGTTAACTGATGAGTCAATCCAGCTTTTATAGCAGTTTATCTTCATGGTATTTCCAAGAGCATAAATGCTATAAAAAGAGAGGGGGTGGGGGGAGAAAGAGAGAGATGGCCACGACAGGAAGAACACAGTAGAAAAAAAACAGGAACATTTAAGCCAAAGGCAATTTACTTTACCAGTAACTGGTTACATTTCCTTTGTTTTATTATTATTATTGTTACAAGAGTTGAGGCTGAGATGAAAGTTTCCCACACCTGCACTGCCTGAACACACAACTTGTCTGAACTTGTTTTGCTCTGTCGTTGAGAAAATAACTATAATTCATTAATATTTGAAAATATTGAAAATAAAAAATAAAGAAGAAGAAAGAAAACAGCACAAAAATGAATTAGATGTCAGAGTAGCCTGGATGGCTGGAGGTGGTTTGGTTCTCTGGGGATTAACACCCCTGACTTCGCAAAGGTGAATACTTGTGAATTTCTTATCACTGAGTAAGAGGAAGAGATGAGCAATTGGAGAAAATAATTCTTTTTAAACCACAGAGATCTTTTCACTGATTAAGCAGAAGAGTCACAGGCCCACTGTAAAGGGGTAGTGTGCATGGGACTCTGGCAAAGTTTTAGTGGCTTTCCTGAAGTTCTGTCACCCACTGCTAAGTCTAGACTAGACTGAGGGGACCCTGTTCTCTGTCAAGTCAATGGGATGCAGAGTGCTTGCTGGGATGGGCATTGTGCAGTATTTGAGAGTATTTTTATGCTTACTGGTGACAGCCACCTCAAGTTAATATGAATACCTCATTATGAGACAGAGTGAGTATGTGTGTCTATTAGAATCTGCTTCAAGCAGAGGCTCTGGATAAAGTCCAGTTGCCTGGGTTGGAATTCCACTATCAATAACCATTTGCATGACCTGAGACAAGTAATTTCATCTCTGCCTCAGTTTCTTGATCTGTAACACAGGGATAAGAATTTGCACCTCCCTCATTGGTTTGTCGTAAATTTTGAATAAGTTATTGCACATAAAGCATCCTGAACAGTAACAAGCACACAGCAAGTATGAAGTATTAGCTACTTTGGTTATGGGTATGTAATATTGAAAATATTCATACAAAAAGCACTTACTGAACTCTATGATAGGGCAGGGCAGGGGATTATTTATGCACAGAAGCACAAGTAGCTGTGCATTTATTGCTTTGCACTGTTCATTGTTTAAAGAACTGGCAGGAACCAAGTGTGTACCAGGGAGTGTACCACTGGCTCTGCAGAACTTTGTGAATAGAGATTAGTCCAACCTAAAGCACCAAAGCTGCTACAATTCTGGACTCTTAGACTCTTGGCTCTCTCATATGTATATAGTCCTTGGCTTTCAAGAAGAGGGTAGATATGGGTCCATCCAGGGTGATTGGAAGGAGTGGAGCTGTTTGTTAAGTAAATAAATAAAAATTCAGAGCCCACCCTGCCCCTGGCCACCATCACATCATGGTGTATTGACTTTGAACCACTGGCCTAGCAAATGATTTGTTTTACTGCTCCCAAGGAGAAAAAGATGAAATCTGGAAACCAGAAATTCCTCTATCCTCAAAAACCAGCCCCTCAATCCCAGCCCCTCAATCCCAGCCCCTCAATCCCAAAGTTTCAGCTGGGGTCTTTTGAATCCCAAAAGTCTTCTTTTGTATTTTGGGGATTCTTGCCTAATATTTACTGCTCCTCTGCTCCTAGGACATTGAACATTTGTGGTCTTCATTTGTTCATTGCATGTAGGACAAGGTTATGACTTTACCAMGATGCCAAACACAATGGCTCAACAGTTATCAGGAGCCACAGACCTGAGGCCTCCTATCCCAATTCACAGTGCAACCTCAAGTCATTGGCTTATGTTCTGTGAGCATCAGCACAAGTCATAAAGGTGAATGCAGTTTGACCAGTGTCCAGAATCCCAAGTATACCACATGGTCAGGTTGGCCAGCCCAGTTCATGAGGTTGCAAAGAATATGTGGCCATCTTTATTTTCATTAGTCACTTGTTCATTCCATAAATTTGTTACGTAATGCCGCCCCCTGAGTSTTGTGCTGAATGGACACGATCCTGCCCTTAAGGCCAGTCCACTATAATTATAAGCCAAAAAGCACAGCTCGGCGAGCACATGAAATTTAGTGATATGTTCCGTAAGAGAAGGATAGCAAAAGAGAGGGGAGGCTTAAAGACAGAGTTGAGTTCGAGCCTTGAGATACTAGTGAGAATTACTTGATAGTACCTGAGATACACAAGTACTTGTCCTATTAGGAACCAAAGGTTTTTGCTCTTGATCAAATTCCATTTAGAGTTTCAGTTTATGTGACCAGAATATTTGGTGCTAGTCTGTTCTAAATTTGTAATTCTCAGAATCTGCTGGGGAAGGACTTGTGCTTCTCTGGGTTCTGAAAACAGCTCAAAGAATGGAGAAAATAGACTCAGTTGGGGGATGACTTCTTGTGGGGTTCCTGGAACCTTTGCCTTTGGTATTTAAAATGGCATGTTCAATGCAAGTTATCTTTTTCAAAAAGGCCTTTGGGATTTGAAAGCTTTTCTGGAAATAAATGCCTTTTAGGTTTTAAGTGCTTTTCACCAAAATGTTGGGAGGGGAAGATGATAGTAACAAGTCTTAGAACAGAGGCGATATTGTTCTGGGACTTCTGATGAAATGTCTCAGACCTGCTCCCCCCAGCCGATCCCCCCCCCCCCTTTTCCAGTTCTGTTTGTTTCTGTCAAGTTTTTCAGCTGGGCTATTATTTTGATAAGGGACATGAAAGTCCATCCTTTCCTRGGGGTCATGAAAGTCTTCACACTTGGGTCACTTGTGGAAACACTTCTGTGCTACACAAAAAGTCTTCTAAACAAAATAGCCCCCACCCTGGCTCCAGGCTGTGGACCGTGTCAGATTCAAGGAACGTGGCATCACGCTGCAGTCAGAGGAGCCAGAGGTCAGGATCCACAAAACAGGCCTGATGAAATCACCAGCCCAGAGAGCGGGGAGGTGGAGAGAGCAGAGCCCTCCCTGCCAGTCTGGCAGCTCCAGCAAAGTGCTCAGAGCTCATCCCACACACTYGGTGCTAGTCACTGCCGAGTGTTTACATGAGTAATGGAGCTGCCGGGGGAGGGGAGTTGTAAGCAGAGACCGAGCCTCGCGGGGAACATTCACAGGGAGGCTGACACACACGGAGTAGAGACTTCAGGGATGTGGCCGGGGAGCAGTCACATGCTGTAGCTTTCATGAACACAGACATCAATCAGGCAGATGTTTGTCGACTGGAATGGGTAATCTCTACTTTCTCTTTGCTTGATTTTGTTTGGGAGCTTGTTTACCTTTGATAATTCCGGGGCTGGCTTTCTGGGATGGACTTTCAGACCAATGTTTGGAGGAATGAGATGCGAGTGGGGACTGGGAAAGAGGACCTGAGCCCCGAAACCACTTTGGGAACTTTTTTGTTTTTGTTTTGTTTTTCTCTCTTGRTTGACAAGGCAGCTAGCTCTCTCTCTCTCTCTCTGCCTTGCTGAGCTTCACAGCAAAAACTGATAACCGCAGCAGAAAAATGAAATTAAAGGGATGGATTGTGTCTGTAAAATGAGTACCATGTAAAATATCCTAAAACCACGGGTTAAACTGCTTGTCCTAAGTGAGATTTAACAACAGTGAAGAGGGTTTCGMGTTGTTCAGATTGGACATTGTCATAATCATCTCTGGAAGTCACAGAAAGTGTCGGGTACCTTGAAAGGTCTGCAAGAAGTGGCCGGGATTGAATGCATGAGTTTGGAATTGTTCAAGGGCAGTTTGGTTAGTTGGTTGGTTTTAATTTTGCTGGACTTGAGTGACTGATGAAATCAAATGTGAAAGCTGCTGCCGGACAGTCCTAGCACTCCATAAACAGCAGCCTCCCCCGCCCCACTACTTTTTGTACAGATCTTAAAAGGGACCAAGCTCAACATCAAGGATGAAATAGAACTGATTTATATCTTGTCTATGGCTTTTAAATAGTGTAACCCCAGTGGAATCAAGTTAACCCCAGCATAATCTTTAGGATTTATTTTAAATAACCCTCTAGGTCTTCATGAAAAAAAATATATTGAGAAAGAAAAGAGAACATGCTGATTTAAATGTATCTCCCAGATTTATTGAGATTTGAAACATGCTGGTCATGATGTTATTAGTAAATACACATAAAAATACTTTCCAGTTTGTTATTGTAAAAGACTCCATAGCTTGTGCTCTCTCCTTCTCTCTCTCTCTCTCCTCTCTCTCTCTCTCTCTTTCTCTCTCTCTCTCTCTCTCTCTCTCCTTACTCTGTATGATAATTTGAGAAAATGTTCATGTCTCCAAACACTTTCGAAGAGAGATGTTTTCAAGTGTTAGATTACTATGATACATAATGTGCTGGCATTATCACTTAGGTTTCGGAAAACAAGACACAAAACCAAATACACAAAATGATCTTGAAGCCCAGTTCAGGGTTATCTTTCAGCCTCAAATGCTTCTTTTCTAACCGTGGGGAAGGGCATTTTTCTTATCATCATCATTTAGTCTTCATTTTATTTATATTAATTAGACATAGTCAAGTGTAATCACTTAGCTTTGGGAAATGTACAGAGGGGGATAGTCTACCCAACTGTAGCCCTCCAGAGAGAGAAGTATYTAATGAGAGTTGGCTGCCACAGATATGTACATTTCTCTGAACAATTAGAGGATATCACTGCTATAAGATTGTCTTTACTGAGGAAAGCCATGCCAATGAAAATGTATATCAATTATTCTCCATTTGTTTTCAGCGCCAAATCTTAAAGGCAGACCACGCAAAAAGAAACCGTGCCCACAAAGAAGAGATTCATTCAGTGGAGCTAAGGATTCCAACAATAATTCCGATGGTAAAGCTGTTGCCAAGGTATGATCATTCACTCCGTGGAATTCACTTTGATGCATTTTTTTTCATTTTTCTCTTCATCTTTCTGCTCTTGTGCCTTGGTGGCAGTTTTCAATTCAGAATCGGACTTTGGTATTCAGAGCTTTTGAAAGCACTATGCATGTCTGTTCCTGCTACCTCCCTTCCCTGGTGTCTGGGGGTGGTGGGAGGCAGGCATTTTGATTTGTCAACAGAAAGGCTTCCCACCTCCCAGTTTGGCCTGTTGGATAAAGGACAGATGATTAAGCACCCACGTCACTGAGGCTGAGATTTCATAGTAGGTGACACAATGACATAGTTTACTCTGCTCGAATCAAAAATAGACCAGCTGAACCATCCTCTTTCTGAAAGTGTTCATCTAAATATGTTTCAGAGATTAGCAGAGGATGAAATTAGAAATGGCTAGAATTAATCTTTTTAGTTATGTACTTTTCAAAGTCACCTCTAATTCACATTAGAATAAAATTAAAGATACACAGTCAAATATTTATATGTATACATATTCTCATATATCTACTTCTACGTTTTTAAAAATCTCTGTTAATGAAGAAAGTCTCAATTCCAGGCCCCCTTTGGCCCAGACCATTTTGTGTAAGCATTAATTAGAATCTTTATAGTGTGCACCCATAGTATTTAGCACCATGAAAGGTGAAAAGTCATGTCATATTTTTAGACTTACCTTTTTGACTTTTGTGGGATTGGGTCAGATTTCCATGTTCCGGTCATTGGTTTGTGTGTGGGTGTTGTTTCTGAGCCAAAGACAGCAATAATCCATTTGCGACCTGAATTGAATACCAGATTTGAACTGACAGCACATTTCCAGATGCAAGAACTAAACTTTTGAAAATGGGAGCATTTGGATTATTGGTGAATTTGGAAGATTTTGCTATAGGGGAAAAAAAAATGAATTCTGTGTTGACATTCTACTATTTATCTCTCATGTACTCCACCCCTTTCTGGGTGTAATGAAGTAAGTCCTAGACATTCACATTCCATAAATCTTATCTTCGCATACGATTGTTTCATCAAGAAGTTCTGAAGACTTCTTGGGTAGGATTTCTTCATGCTTTTATGATTCTAAAGGGTTAAAAAGAACCCAGTAAGTAGAAATGTGCCGTTTCCAATTGACCTTTTGTTAGTGAGTGCACAAGGATACCACAAAGGGCATTTTCTTGTGAGCTGGTCAGGGCCCTACCTAGGGCTTTGGTTCTCATGGTCTTGAAGGATATCAGCCGGAATAGTTTATCCTTGTGATATGAACATGATATAGTTTGCAAGTTCCTGCAGATTCTGCATAGTGGAACAAGAAGGGTTTAGATCTGTCACATTCAGCAGAGTGGGTACTGCCCATGCCTCATGTCGGTGCTGGTCCATGCCTGAAGAGTGACATCATGTGTTTACTCCAGCATATATTGTGCCTGAATCCAACAGGATGAAGCTACTTCCCTAGTGCTTTGGAGTTACTATCAAGTATGCCTCTGGGGATTTTCTAAAACTCATACAATTGATCTGAAAGAACACTGCTTCCAAAGTTCCTCTCTACAGAAGGCAGCTTGGACTCACACAGCAGGCTCACAAAACTGAGGAAGACAGGAGCCTGCTCTAAGGATGGGTCCTATTAGATGTCCACTGACTTATTCTCATTAGGAGGGATGGAAGTCAAGCCTGAGTTTTCTAAGTGACCCCTTCTCCCCACCTGGTACCAGTGCTGCCATTCAGGATTTTTACAAGGGACACATAACCCATCTGTTGTTCATGTGCTGGGTGAATGTCATGCAGCAGTCAGCTCCTGGGGACTGGTCAAATGGCTTGGCTACTTTTGGTGTCTTGGATTAGAATCCTGCCTTGGTCATTTCCAGTGGGTCTGCAAAACCACTTCAACTCGCTGAGGAAGATTGATAGGTGGGAAGTGTGGTGAGCTCGTCTGTTTGTACCTGTCTCAAAAACCCTACAGAGTGAACAAGCCACATCTGGGACCAGGACAGCTATTAAAATGGCACTTGTTTCTTAAAGTGGTCTTTTCCCATGAAATGCTATAGTAGAGAGTATAAGCTGTGACCATCTCTTCATTTGCTAAACTGGAAGGAATATGTTAGGCGACCATGAGCTGTTTGACTTTAAGGGCTGTGTGACTCTTCTTTATTTTTATTTTTTTTAAAAAAGTGCCTCAAACAGACCTTTCCTAACTATGGATAAGTACCAGCTTCCTGCAGCTCCACACAGCAAAGCTCCTAGAGTGGGACCCTCTGGGTTTGTGTTCATGTCTGGTAATTTGCCTGTCACTATCAAAAGGTTGCAGTCTCTTCAAGGAGTACATGATGGCAGCTTTGCAAGACCCTGTTTTCCCAGGGAGAGAGAATTTTATGACTTCTCAAAGACAGCAAAAGTCACATGGGGAGAGAGCTACCAGTTCTCTGAAGACATTCGGTTTAAATCCTGTCTTTTTTCTGGGATCATTTTAAAGCAGCAGATCTGCAGCCCTGTCTTGTTCTTAGAGCAATCTGCTCTAGATAAAACTTGGCCTAAGTTGCGAATGAAAGATCTATATTGATAGAAGGCAAATATTTCCTTATACCTTTCAAGCATTTTCCAAAGAGCAGAAGTGTATAACAGGTAGTTTACATTCAAAAGGGAACACAGAGAAGGACACAATGGTGTGCAATATTTACTTTTATTTCAATCACAAACATACTCTGATATTTCACAAATGCAATACTTCCGTTATTTTCAATACTTTTCAAGTCATTTGCATCTCAGAACTATCCCCAGGGATTATCCTTACTTCACCAAGGAATAAACTGAGAGTCACCCGGCAAATCAGTGGCCAAACCAAGATTAGAACTCTAGCTTGTTTACTACTAGTTCAGCATATCTTGCTGCCCCAGTTAAAGACTAGATTAGTTATAACTCAATCCCGTGGAAGGATGTGGTTAATATCAAATAGGTGGTGGTTCATTGAAAACATTAAATGTTGATTCTCTAATTAGTACTTCCTCAATCACTTTGGAAACCCCAGAGCGCTTAGTGAACGCAACAGGTGTACAGTGTTCAGGTCAGGAAAAACAAATCTAGTAATTAACTGTCACTATCAAAAGGCTGGGCTTTTTCAAGGTCAAAATGAAGACTAGCTCATGTTTCCATTCCACCTGCACTGCAATAATTCAGTAGATTAAAATACTGAGAATGTGTTGGATAAATGTAGAAAAAAAAAAGTGTAGAAAAGAACTTGGTCCTAYCCAGAAACAGAATAATACCTTAAACTTATATAAACTAAAAAATAAATAAATAAAAATAAAAAGTATCGAGCTAGTTGCAGCCGGGAAGCCACTGTTTGCTTATTTGCTTCTTGCTGATAGCTGGCCTCCTTGGGTGCAGCATGCTGGGGCACCCACTGAGATCAGGATGCAGTTCACCAGGCAGCACCCTGACTTCACTGGGAGCCTGTGCTGTGAAGCAAGGGGTGGGAATTATTTTGGACCTGGTTACTGCACCCTGGTGGGTTTTCCTTCTGTTTCTGGGTGTTTTTACACAGGTGAGGCACAACATTAAASAGCTCTCTAGACATTGAAGAGCAAACTTCATAGTCCCTAAGCAGTGGTGCTTCTGACCTAATAATAGAGATAATCTGTTCGTTACCCCTGCAGATTTAAGCCTCAGCCTGTTTTACCCACAGTCCTTAGTTCTACTCTTACTATACCAGACTGAGTTTGGAGCTCTCTCTATACCAGAGCTCTAAGCCCACTCATCTGCCCCGCACCAGCCATTTGACAAGACCCATGACCACTCTTAGTCTCAGTTTTCTCCACTGTAAAATGGAGCTGGATATCTCCTTTTTTCAATTCTTATGGACATGAGGGTAGGCTCTCTGAAGCCATAGCCTTGTATCTAGCTCATCGTGGGTGCTCAGTTGATGTAGGGTTTCCTTCTCTTGGCTTTATGTACAATAGAAGGAATGAAGCTCTTTTATGATTTGAAAACCACCTAGTCTTGTATTTTGTGTCTCACTTGAAAAATCGCATTTCTAAGTGGTAAGTTTTGTAATGCCTAGTAATAAGATTTACTTTTCTAGTTAAAAAGTTCATTTTGACTGCAGATTTTAACATTTTTATTAAGAGTGTCGGTAAAGCATAGTGTATTAAAACCACAAACCCTGGAGTTCGACCCTAAAGGCAGAGTTCAGTTCCAAACTTACCACTTGTGAATTTGTGCATATTCATATAAACTTGTACATGTTACTCATGCTATCTGTACCTCAGTTTCCACTTTCGTAATTTGAGAAGAAGAACCTACCTCACCAGGGGCTGTGAGCACGAAATGAAATAATTAACATCTAAACACCTCTTATGATAGACCCTGGCCACCTCATAAACACTCCAAAAGGGCTGAAAGGCAATATAGATTAAAACTAGAGTGATTTTATRAGCCATCAAATAATAAATTTCATCAGAACTTTGGACCCAACGACCTAGAATTGGGCAGTGAAAGATGATGACGGCATAAAGTTTCACAGGATGTTTGCCTTCATATAATACCACAAAGTACCAAAGTATGAGAAGATTATAAGTAAAACTTCTACATGGAAAAAAAAAACTGTTTTAATCTCATTTCCACAGCCCCTTAAAAATTAAAACCTTATCTAGAGGCCCCGCTGAAAGAGTTGCGCATGAAGTTTTCTTTTTCCAGGACCAGTCTAACAACATCAAACTAATGTGTTCACTTGAGAGAATAAGCAATAAAGAAAAYCCTCGCAGAAGATGCTCCCCTTTAATACATAAGCTTGGTCTTTGATGTTCTTCGTGCTTGGAAGGAGAATCTGCAGGGAAAGAAAAAGGGTTCAGAAATCTGAAATGGAGAACACTGTAGAATCTGTGGGGCATTTTTATTCATAACATTTCCTCAGCACTTGCCCTCTTCCTGCCCGATGTGAGATATGGAGATGTAAAGAATATTGGAATGTACACATTCCCCATGGGCGCACTTGAACTCCAAGTCTGACCCTTTGTACTTCCCCCTTTTACAATTAAAATAGCTCAGCAACTTAGCGTTATATTTAACAACCATCAAAGGCCTCTTGTAGAACATGGCAGCTAGGAGGGAACATTAGGTTAGCAGTTCCACAGGCCGAGCTCCATATCCGCCTGTAGTGTGGAAGCAAGAACATCTGGAGCGCTTACCGCCATTTATTTCTTAATCATGGAGCTTTTCACTCACTCTTCTTGAGTTTTTAGCTGACCTCSACTCTGTCTTTTGTGGCCAGTGAACATCTTCTATTATAGTCTCAGAGCCGACTGAAAAGCAAGAAGTCCTCATTAAAGAGTGGGGTCTTTTGTTTCCTACTGAGGGTGTATTCAGGCGTCACCCTTAGGTGACAGAAAGAAGAGACCTGGCTGGCTTTCTTGTTACCAGTATGGGCTGGCATTGGCTTGTTTTTTCCAGGTTGCTGGCAGGAATAGCAACAAGATAAGTTTACCAAACTTGTCATTCATTTTGATACAAAGTGTAACAAACTGGGACAATTTATTTAAAAAGCAAAGTTTGTTCAAGGACACTGATAATATYCCTTAGGGGGGAAAAAAGATGTTGTCAAGAAGCAGACAAAAAGGTTCATACAAACACTATTTCTGGCTTCAGCATACTTGTAAAGAGTCTAAAAGAAACTGGTGTAGTTAAGCAGACGACAGGCCACTGGCCACCTGTTTCTGTCAGTTAAGTTTTATTGGAACATAGCCAYACCCSTTCATCATACATGTTGCTCTTAGCCTAGAACAGAGTCATTCCAACAGAGACCACAGGGCCCCAAACTCTAGGATATTTAACATGTGGCCCTTTACAAATTGGCCATCCCCTGATCCTAGAATCGTTCACATGTGATGATACTTCTGAAAAGCCATTTCAGGGCAAGAGTCATTTACTGGTTCGTCCTTCCCACTCAGGGTAGTGTCACCAGCCATGTCTTTGTAAACCCTCAAGTGCTGTGCCTGATTTGATATGGTGTATTTTCTGTTTTCCAGGTGAAATGTGAGGCCAGATCAGCCTTGACCAAGCCGAAGAATAACCATAATAATTGTAAAAAAGTCTCCAATGAAGAAAAACCAAAGCTGGCCATTGGTGAAGAGTGCAGGGCAGATGAACAGGCCTTCTTGGTGGCACTTTATAAGTACATGAAAGAAAGGAAAACGCCAATAGAACGAATACCCTATTTAGGTTTTAAACAGAGTAAGTATACTGGTTTTCATTTCTGAAACATMAAAATTGCTCAAATTCTTTGAAATGGGGGAAAAAGAAGTTCTGTTTTTTTTTGTTTTTGGGGTCTTTTTTTTTCTTCTTTACTTGGAATTATGTTGAAATCCAAATCTGGGGATGGTGTTCTCTGTTTATACTAAATCTCCAAATTGTCCCAGCCAAGAATTTTTTTCCCTGCCTCTTTCCGCTACATTGTTCCCTTCTGGGACAGTTGCAGTGAGATATTTATAGGTTTGAATCCACTGATTATGACTGGAAATAGACATGTTGAAAGTTTTCTCATTTTCTGTTTTGTCAATCTTGAGTGCCTGTAACGCCTTTCTTGTGAGATAATAATATGACGTAGCCTTATCAGGCCAGATGTTGCCTGTGAAAAAGACAGCATTTGAAAGGAAGACATTTAAAGATGGACAAAACAACCACAAAGAGAAAACACGTTTCCTATGCCCCCCCCCCCCCAGTTTGTTAAAAGATAATAAAAACAGGACTTCAGGGGAGACAAGAAATATATAGATTTGAACAGAGGTCCCAGTTTTGAATGACTTCGAGATGTACATCTAAGCATTGTTGTGTACAAGTAGACCAGGGAACTCAGAGCCTAGCAAAATTCCATATCAAAAGAGAAGAAATCCTGGTGTTGCCCTGAGTTCACCACTGAATATATATATATATTTTGCCTCTGTCTGGATTTAGTGGTGCACAAAGCAATGAGCCTCTGGCTTGAAATAGTATTTTCTCTAAACGCATCTTCCTAGATTAAAACCATGTGTCATTTTGATGAAGAATGTCAAACCTGTATGTTTTACATAACAATTTACATACCTAATAGCAATTGGCACTGATTGCAAGAGAACACTCACAGCCATTATAAACTTATATAACTACGAATGATTACAATGTTTGTCTGAAAACTGGTTGCTTGAAATAGAAGTAAAATTAATGTACTATGAACAGCTTTGTTGCATTATGCATTGGTTCAGATTAAATCAAGGCCGAGGCAGGGCTCTTGATAGCTTTGAAATAGTGCAAGGTTCAATGAGGCTTTGCGAACACGTTGTGTCAAAGAGCCTTTTTTTTTTTAATTTTCATTTTATTCATTTCCCTTACCACAGAATAACTAGAAGTTCAATTTTTTCCCTCTTATAAATAAAAGAATCAAATCTGTAGCAGTCACATTCCATGGTATTTGCTACAAATGAAACAAGGTTGCTGGCAGTTGGGCATAATTGTTTAACAGTATAAATGTATACAAATCCTACAAAGAGAATCTGGGAAAAAAAACATATTAGCAACATCACACAGGCAAATTAGGGGATTAAGTGAGCTCATGACTCAGTTGTTCTGTGAATGAACACCTTCCTTTCCTTTGACCTATGGTAAGGTGGTTGCCTCCCACATGAATTACTTGTTTTCTTTGTCATTTATTGCAAGGGACCACGTACTTATGAAATACATGTGGTCTGAGCCTTTAATATAGTGTTGCCATCAGACAGTCTTAATATTAGGAAGGTAATCATATATTAAAGTGGCTGTAATTTATTGATCCCAGAAAGGTCTTATCTGAGGGAAGCATTACTTATTACTGTTTAGTCAATGGCTTCTTTCTAAAGGCTAAGCAAGACCAACCCCAATTTTGAAATCCTGGAACATTTTCCCAAGGTCACTCTAATTCAGCTTTTCTTTTTTTTTTCCTCTACTGATGGCAACAGAACTAAAATTGTGTTGTTCTTTATCCTGAAACCAGAACCTCTCTGTAGTTTTTTGACTGTTTCTTAAGAAATATTTTAAGTGGTATAATAGATTCTGTTGTTGAATGCCCTTTGGCAAAATATTTCCTAAGAATTTAGCTCTCTGGGGTACATTAGTATTTCTTTTTTTTTTTTTTTTTCTCTTTCTCATTGAAAAACAAAACAAAATGTTTTAATTGACATTTCTTGGAATTATGTTAATGCAATGCTTATCTAAATACTTATTGTCCCTCTAACAGTTAACCTTTGGACTATGTTTCAAGCTGCTCAAAAACTGGGAGGATATGAAACAGTAAGTGTTTAAGCAACTTAAATGAAATAATTTTGCAATCTAACTTTCCCCCTCTCTTTGGCCAAAATGGAGAAAATGCAAAAGCAAACCATCATTGACTGCCTTTTCAAATGGCTCTACACTTTTGGGGGTTTATTGGGCTGCTTTTGGAAACAGTCCCAATTAGTTCCAGGTTTGGCAAAATTGTAAACTTGTCGTAAAAACTACAAGTGGAAAACATATGTAACTCTCCCCTGTCAGGGAAATTAGTTGGGTCTGTAATTTTTTCCCATGTTGAGAAAGGGCTATTATTGTACAACAAGCCAAGATTGCATAAAAGAAATTTCCCTTGGCAACATACCTGACATCTGTTCATGTCTAATATGGGAAATGTATTAAAGGCTTTCAAAAGTAATCAGGATTGGCCATTAAGGAATAGAATGCAGCAGAATCTCCTTTCGTTCTAGGGCAAAGAAGCTTTATTAGACAAGGGTCAGTGCTGCATAAACAGGAAGTTATCAAACTTATTCAGAACAGGCTCTGACACTCTTTATCAGCTAATTCCAACTGACAGGAATGGGTTATTTTTAGCCCACGGGAAAATTTGATGGCCACGGATTTTTACAGCATGTATTCTGAACCAATAAAATGTTAGAGCAACAAACTAAGATTAAGATCTTGAAATAAGAAAAAAGAGCTGCATTAATATAGCACACAGAGATGACATCTGTAATAAAATCAATTGACATAGGAAGATGTCGTCACTGGAAATATTTTCTCCTCCACACAATGATCAGATTAAGTYGTGCCATTTCTTCTGCAATTGAGTAAGAAATTATTTTTTCTTTCCTTAAGAAGTAATCTGGAATATCTCTGTACCATAGGAAAATGACAGTAAGAGACAGAGTCAAGAAAATGAAATTTATTTTAGCCCAAACACAACAACCAGTGTTTCTTGCCAGATAAAGCATATTGTTCCATAAACTAATATCATGTTTTGATGTTGGAGGCTTGGGATGGGAAAAGATGGCAAACATTATGTKATTCAGATAACCTGGTATTTACTATAGAGATATCTGCTATGAACCCTGACTAGAAATTCTTTGATATGATTATATGTATATGTAAAATATTTATTTGATATACAGGGTAAATGTGTGGTTTATAAGGAAATACAATACTCACATGAACTGTATGTAAAATGTGGATTTCATACACTTGAATTTACTTGAAATATTTGTTTTACCAAGTACCCTGTGTAAAAATAAATRCAATAATTTTCACTTGATTGAGTCTATTGATAGGACCAGAATATAGATTCCTTGTCACTGTAGCTCATAGTTTTCCAAAATCTTAATTATAGCTTTCATCCATGTGAAAATGATGATAACTTAGTAGTCAACCTCACAGCCTAGACTTTTAAGTCTAAATCTAAATATTAAGAATAAGAGAGCACATTTTTATGAACCGTGATTGCACATAGTTACATGATATTGCACAACATTATGAAATGTCTTTAAAAAGAAAACTCAGGAACTTTTTGTTATTCACTGATAGGAAGAGTGCCAGMACATTTCACAGAATCAATTTTTCCTGCTTTTGTATCTTCTGTATCTTTACAAAGATATTTTTTTTTTCCCCCATGAGACAGCAAGTTGGTGTAGAATGTACAGAAGAAACTTCTGATAAGTTTCAGGGCATTTGTGGAATCTTTCAACAAATAATATTTATTCTTTCGTTGAATGAATGAATGACTGTAGGATCAGCAGATCACTTGATCACATATTTACAGAATACTTGGTGTGTACAAGGCTTGTATTAGACACTGTGGGAAAAACAAAATATCTAGGCCTATGGTTCTCGTCCTTAAGTTACCATTCATAAGAAACAGTAAATAAAAGAAGAGGTGGAAAAAGATCAGTACTCTGTAGAGGTAAAGCAGTTCCCCTGTGGGGCTGGGGAAGGAGGGCTTGATGGCTCTGATGACATTTGAGCAGATTGGTGGTGGTGGAGGGGGKGATGAAAGAGATTTAGAGATAAACAGTCATGGCTTTCCAGAAAGTGAGAATGAATTAAATGATAGTGGCAATGACAACCTAGAGTTACTCAGTGGACTGTGGAAAGTGGGGAGCATAGAGGGTTGCCACCTCCCATCTCTGGTGATAAGAGTAGCTCTTCTCTCTGTGGGCGGCAGGGGGGTGGGGAGCTCACTTTCACAAGTGGAAATTTATGCTGCTTTTAGGCTGATAAAGGAAGGGCAGAGAGGTCTTCTTGCATCTGTTGATTCTCAGTTGCCTTCATCTTAGATGATCCTTATGCCAATTTGCATATTGGGAGATGACCTAGTCTGATCCCCTTGATTGAGGTGGGAGAAGATAGAAGTCCAGATTACAGATTGGTATCTTCCCTCTGGCTGGTTATGAACAGTTTTGTTTGTTTGGTACTGAGCCACATCCACAGCCCCTTTTTAATTTTATATCTTGAGACAGGGTCTCAATAAGTTGCTCAGGGTCTCACTAAATTGCTGGGGCTGTCTTCGAACCTGTGATCCTCCTGCCTCAGCCTCCTGAGCCACTGGGATTACAGGAAAGCACTGCCATGCCCAGCAATGAACAAAATTTTTTAAATAAATTCCTCCCTATTTCCTTTCCAGTTTCCTTCCTTCATTGATGCTTCATGCTACCTGTTAGCCCTATAGGCATGTAAATTCAAYACTGCCATCCTACATCTAAGCTTCCATAACTTCTATGTATAGAATATAGTTTTCTCTTGGCATTTTTTGTTTGGTTGGTTGGCTTTTGTTTTGTTTATTTGTTTTGTTATTGCAGATTGAACCCAGAAGTGCTTAACCACTGAGCCACATCTGCTGCCCTTTTTACTTTCTTTTTCATTTTTATTTTATKTATTTATTTATTTTATTTTTTGACCAGGGTCTCTCTAAGTTGCTTAGGGTCTTGCTAAGTTGATGATGCTGTCTTTGAACTTGAGATCCTCCTGCCTCAGCCTCCCAACCCACCAGGATTACAGACATCTTGGCATATATTTTTTTAATATTTTATGTTGTATGTGGACACAATAACTTTATTTTGTTTACTTAGTTTTTTTTTTTTTTTTATGTGGTGCTGGGGATCAAACCCAGTGCCTCACACATGCTAGGCAAGAACTGTACCACTGAGCCACAACCCCAACCTATTGGCATGTTTTTGACTAGTAAAAATCTCAGAAAACTTAATTTTGAAGTCAGTCTAGGAAATGTACAATAATATGCAGAGTCTGAGAATCTTCCACAGCACCTAGCTTCAAAATGGGACCCCAATCTAAGCTAAATATCAAAGATTAGACATTTGACTTTATACATGTAAACATGCTAAAATATTAACATTTCCACAGCTCAGGAGCAGCACCAAGTTTCAGATGAGTATTTTTCCATTCTGTAAAGTGGTAGTCAAAGTTCAACTTAGAGCCATTGCACTCTGAATAAGGGAAGGTGTAGCACTCTCATGTTATGTATCTTTCTTGAACTGACAATTGTGCAAAAAAGGCTTCTTGCTCTGTTCTAGTTCATATCCTCATTTTACAAATGAGGACGCTGGGTCACAGGAAGATGAAATGAATTGCATGGTGTCATCGTGTCATTCTTCAGTCTCTGACTTGCTGAGAATTTTGAGCACAATGGTCACAACCTCCATAGCATCACTGAGAGGAAAGACATTCATAAATGACCATTCCTTGTGCCTTCCATTCCTAGCAGTTCCTTATGTATCTAAAATGTTTTCTACATGTTTGGGGCCATGTCTTGGAAAGAGGGTCTAATAACTTGCTTTTGTTAACACCATCTTTCAGTCCATTCAAACTTGAGCTTTACCAGATGGATGAGTTACTAGCTGAGATTTTTTTTTTTTGCCTGATTCTTGGGGAAAGCATATGAATTTAGGAGATGGGTCAAGAAATCTTGATAGTGTAAATATTCAGTAATAATCACAAAGTGCAAGTTTAAAATTTGTAGATGTATTACTTCTGCTGTTAACTTGTGATTGGATAAAGACATCTTTCTGGAATTCCTTCTGGTTATAAAAAGAGGCCATCTTAATTGGCTTGTTTTTGTTTGTGGTTATAAACTATTCCAAACCTTCTGGTTTGAATTGTGGATTATGGATTATTTCATTTCAGTCCTTCACAACCCTCAAATTGAATTAAAAAAAAAGAAGAGGAACAGAAGTTTTATTTTAAGCCTTTATGGCATTTGACTAATGACTATATACAATCCCCTAGCCTCCTCTGCTTTTGCTGGAAATGTATAAAGTGTCACTTCATTTTTAGGTTTAGAGATCAGAAATGCATCGAACAGATTTGATTTTCTAAAAAACAATATTCTGGCATTTTGATTGGTTGGCAGTGAGGATTCTTCCTCTGCAGTCATCTATCCACCTTTTCCTCCCAAACATTAGAGAATGGATCACCTACAATTGAAGAGGCAGAACTGGCGAGCTATAGAAACCTTCACCTCAGTGTCTGGGGAAGCAGTTAATGCTGGAAGAGTAGCTTGGGATATTACCAGGATGCAGCATATGGAGAGTGGTTTGCTAAAGCAATTTCCATTTTGCTAACCATTTGATGGCAAGCCAGACACAATACTTGGAGCGAAGATAGAGTAGGGAAATGGGTATTGAAGAAATCTTACCCTGGAGGCGGGGGGGTGACACTTGGTGGTACCTTCTTAGAGTGTTGGTGAACAGCCTCTTTGCTTCCCACCAGTGAGACAGGACCATGATTTTTCATCTGGAAGAAGTCACTTGTCTTCTTGCTGGAAGGATTAGGCTTTGACATCAAATTCTGGCTTTGACATCATTTTCAAGACATCCTCTGAATCTAACCTTAGTTTTCTGGACAGACAAAGCCTCTGGCTTAATACAGAGTTCTCGAGGCCAAAGATGATGTCATGTAGTTTTGAAAGGCTCCAGTTCCTGGAGTACTACCAGGAAAAAAAAGTCATCTTCCTTGAATTCAGTTTGCTCTCAAGGTGTCCTGAGAAAGAGACTGTTTCTCAGAGCAGCCTGGGCAACACTGTGTGCAAGCTCCTTTGACTTCATATTTCCTATGCATTCTCAAACCATTAGAAGAGCTGGAGTCCAGATGATTTCTGATTGCTGTTTCCTCACCGGGCCACAAAAATATCAGCATTATTTCCTTCCCAAATCTTCAAAGAGAGAAATCAAGGCTCCAAGAGTCTTGGGTTAACATAGTAGTTGTCTACAATTTTTTTTTAAGTGGCAGAATATTTTCATCAAATAAAATTGTGGAAGGAATAGCTTCTTCCCATTCATTAGACCTGCTCTTGACCAGGATCAGCAGTGTGGAGAGTTAGTTTCAGGCCACCTTTAAAACACCACCTGTGTTCTAAGAACCAGTATGAAAACCACTACATTTATAAGCAGTGAAAATTTTATGAACATAATAGTCATGGAGTGCTTTTCATAGAGTTCCCTAGATCCTGCCTACACTAGGAAAAGAAGTAACTTTCAAGTGTCTTCAAAGTGAGATTAGAGTCACGTGAACCCAGATTGGTTTATTTTACCTGGGCGTGGTCTGCTCAGTTTTTCATCCTGCTTGTGGTTAATTGTGTGGAATTATGCTTCTTGCTAAATTATGAACCCTTGAAAGCAGTAACATTCTTTTTTTTTTTTTTTTTGGTAGCAGGGATTGAATCCAGAAGCACTTAACCACTGAGCCACATCCCCAGCCCTTTTTAATATTTTATTTAGAGACAGGGTCTCACTTAGTTCCTTAGGGCCTTGCTGAGTTGCTGAGGCTGGCTTTGAACTTGCAATCCTGCTTCAGCTCTCCAAGCCTCTGGGATTATAGGTGTGTGCCACTGGACCTAGTGAAACATCCCTTTTTTCCGTGGTCTCCTCACCCTCTACCTTCCATCCTCCTCCACACCTCTTTGTAACCTCTCTGTAACCCAACAGGGTCCCCTAAAATAGGAAGCAACAGTAGATGGTGATGTCAGGAATCCCTGTCATCCAAGTGAAGACCTTGAAAGAAGGATGGGGGGAGCATAATCCAAGAGAAATAACTGCTTGGATGAATTTGGCCATTTTCTTTTGGAAATGAAAAGCTAGACATTCTCTTAAGAACTTAATATAATAAAAGATCAGATTGAAACGTAAAATAACCAGGAGGCCTGAAGTTTGGTGAGAGAATTGATCAAACTAGCCTCGATCAGATTTCCCAGCTGGCTGGGGTTGGGGGCTAGATAGCAAGAGACAGACATTGGTTTTACCCCAGGTGGGTTTTTAAAGCTAATGCACCCCCAGAGAAGACATTGGACAACAGAATAAAAACCCCAAGCAAATTCATAATTAGGGTCGATGGCCGATTTATGGGAGGTTAAGGGATGAGTCGGGAGAGTCTCCTGCCCTTTCCCCTCTCCTTATTGTTTTTTGAGATTCCTGGTGGGTTTGGACAGTGGAAGGAGTTTAGACATTTCTTACTTTAGAGACCATGGTCATTGCTTGAATAGAGAGTACACTGGGAGACACAAAAAGGAAAAAAAAAAAGAGAGATCGGTGTRCTCAAGAGAACTGTGTGCTTAAAAAGCATTTAGCTGTTGGGAAGGGCACATTTTATGACTTTGCTGTGGAAAGAAAATATCTCAAAATGGTCTGATTCACACAGGCTGTCCACTGGAATTCAGTGAGCAAAAAGACCACTTTCTCCAAGATTTAGCCCTGTCTTCGCTCCAGATGAAGCCTCCCTCCTAAAAACTGTATTGAAACACCAGAACCTGTTAGCCAGGGGGCTAACAGAGACCCCGAGCTGGCTGAACATGGCTTATTAACACACAGTGCCACTTCAAGCTGCCATGTTTTCAAACCTAGCGTGAGGTCTCCTTTTCTCCCTTTCAATGATTCTTTATTTATTCTTAAAGCAGGCTTGTCATTTTTATGATAGCAAGAGTCTGGTAGGGTAATTCCTTGTCTAAATGGTATATTGTGGGAAGGAGACAAGGCCAGTGTGCAAATGCATTTAATGTCCCTGTGAGCAGTGGGTTCTCTTGTTTGTCATCTTTTTCACGACCTGTGTTATTTTGTTTGTATATTCCTTAGTTTGTTTTTGGTATCCCCAACTAGAATGTAGTCACCTCCAGTGTCGGGTCTGTTTTTCATTATTGCACCCAACTACTAACATAAGACCTAAAAAATGGAAGATATTTGGTAAATTGTCGGTGAATGAATGAATGGGCAAGTGGAAAGATTCTCATATAATTGGAACATCTCTGGGTCTCAGTGATCATAATACAGACCCTCTTATCCTAACTGGAGACATAATTAGTCACAGTAGAAGGAACCATAGTTTGTCTTCACAGTTGACAGTGCACCTTTTGACTCATGCTGACCTGTTAGCGGTATTTCCCCACAGAGGAAAACCAAAAGCTCTAAATGTTGAGAACCGATAGTAAAAGTTGTGTTTTCCATAGTCATCTGCTGCATTTTATGGAAAAGGCCCCAGAGCCCTGCGTTACCACATTACCACAAGAGTGGGCTGTTCATCAGGTCATTCTGGTGAGGCTTCTTTGATGTTTTAGAAATAAATTTGAGTCTTCTCTTGGGACTATGAGACAACCAACCACATGAGTCTGGATTTTGTCACTGTGCTGCTGTGTGTCCTTGGGCAAGTTATGCAAGCCCTGAGTCTCATCGTCTTTATCTGTGAAGGAGATTCCAACCACCTATCTCATAGGCTAAGAGAAGATTAAATGATAGAAAGCAAGAATCTTTTACACCATATAAAGTGCTGTATATAAGAAATATAAGAATGAAGTGAAGGTTTCTTCTCAGGTGATTGCAGGGACACAGACACACCTAGGCTGCTCTCTGGCCCTGCTGTGCTTTCCTGGCCCTCACCTCTTGTGAGGGATGAGATGCTAGAGGTGTATTTCAAGGGATCTCAGTATTCTCAGGGCTTTGAGGGATAGTGTAAACACCTGGGAGGAGATCATCTTCTTCCTTGATGGATGGCTCTAGAATAGATCAGCCCAAGATTGTATCATTGAAAGATTGGAGGGAGATTATGATTCAGTATATAATGATTTTCAAAATATATATATATATATATATATATTAGGTGTTTTAAAGGGGGTTTTGAAAACAATTAACTAAACCATAATATGGAGGATTTTATTTTCAGTTGTCTGTGCTAATAGATGTAAGATATGGTTCTGTTTAATGAGAACAGTTGGAACACATTGGTTTGAGAATGCTTTTTGGGAAATTGAAGAATGAAAAACTAACCTTGTCTTTGAGATCCTGCTTGGATCGGTTGAGAAGAGATTATGGAAATGAAAGGGTTCTTTTTTATTTGAAATGGAAAAGGTACTATTTACCCTGTAACATCTCCCCACTCTTCTCCTTCAACTGCAATTACAGAGTCCCAGTTGCAAATTGAGATCCCCCCAGCTCCACTGCTGCCTTTTGCCCCTTGGTGAACTCTGCTGGTGCTGAGAACTCTCCTTGGGTATTTAAAAAAAAAAAACAAAAAACTCCTGCCCTGATTGTACTAAATGCCACTGGCACCTTTGCATCTGTCCCCTACATATTCCAGTAGCACAGTTTTCCTGTAACCCTGTTTTGAAATGTTCACTAGGACCTCAAAACTTGCCCTGTCTTCCTACTTTCAAGGAAACACTACACTTGCTTGGATGTAGTAAGTGACGTGGTTTCCCCAAAATAATCATTTGCCAGATCTTGCATCTGTTATTTTGTTAAAAATCTTAATTTATGTACAAAAGTAAAATTCAAAAAAAAAAAAAACAACAAGACCACAGTGTGCAGTTCAGTATATCAGTATATTTCAAGCTGTTTGTTTTATTCACCCAACTCAATAATACACATAGTGAGCATTCTAACTTTGGAATATGTTAGTTTACATAGGATTTGATCAATATCCCATACTCCTGACCTAAGTGAATAAAAATAAACAGCTTGTGACATATACAGTTTCAGATTTTGGTTTTGTTTTGGTGGTTAGAAGAGCTGGCATAAAAATATAGCCTGAGATGACTGTAAATTCCTCAACCGATTTGATCATTTTATTTAATCTACATAGTAATTTTATTTATATTTTAAAGTAGGTAGCATATCACATGGTTCAAAAATCAGAAGATACAAAAGCATGTTTAGTAAAAAAATCCTTTCTTTTTTTAACCTGTGAACCTGGCCACCTGCCTTCACCAGCCTTAGGCAACCAGTATTAATTTTGATTCTTAAGCTGATGAACTAAGATAAAGTTTAGTGGAAATGTGACTTTATTTTGATGATTTATCACAGGAGGGGAACAAACAACTACATAAATAGCCAGGGAGATGCCTTAGATGAAAATGCACGTGGGTGACAAAAATATAGAGCCATTTTTATTGTAAAGTAAGATCTTGCTATAAAACCACAAGTCTCCCCATATATTCACTTGGACTTCTCTGTTTCTGGGTTTCCAGAACAGTCTGTTCTATTCTGACTGTTACATATGTATTGAAGCCTGGCACTGTGACTCGCCGATGGTGCTAGATTGAATTTCTCATTGCCATTTTTTCAGATAACAGCCCGCCGTCAGTGGAAACATATTTATGATGAATTAGGCGGTAATCCTGGGAGCACCAGCGCTGCCACTTGCACCCGCAGACATTATGAAAGGTAAGGAACCATTTCTTGGAAAGTCTTTGCAAAATTAAAAGTGTGTTCATTGGAAGAAGCTCTGGTCAAAGATAAGACGGAGAAAGTCTAAAGGACCTTTTAGGAAACCGTAAATATCCCTATGGCCTTTTCTTTGCATCTTGCCCTGTGATTTTTAGAGAACATGGCTTTCTCTGGAGTTAAAATGAGATATTCTTTTAGTTAGGTTTTGTCTTGTGACCACCTGTCTGGCAATGCCTTCTTCTCCCTTTACAAGCATAGATTACTCAGGATGTTTCTGGGGGGTCATTTACCATGAAATATTTGCACTTCTGGAAAAAAAAATCTGCAGTGTTACTATGATGTYGCTATGTAACTGAATTAACATTAAAAAGTAAGTGTTCTTAGGATAACTGCACTGGTCTCAGAGAAGGTCTGTTGTTTTTTCCCATCTTAATATTTTTTTTTTTCTTCTATGGCTTTGTCTTTGTCCCAAGAAATCTTCTTGCCAAACTCCATGCAACTTAGTTTTCTAACAATTTCTGCCTGTTTCAGAAGGGTGGTGATAATGCAACCAGGAAGCAATGCAGGAGTTAGTAGCCTCCTGTAGGTTGTGTCTGCAAGAGTCTTTCCCCTTTGTGTTAGAACTGAGTTACCTACAATGTTGATGGCGGGTTTGCAAATTTGTGCATTATCCTGTTCTGTGCTTCAAGCTCCATTGATTTATTTTGTACCAACTTTCTTAAAATTGGCACTTCCCAGAAGAAGTGCATTGATGGAGTGAACAACCTGCTTTCAAATTTAGATCTTGGTAGTAGGGGTGTGTGTGTGTGTGTGTGTGTGTGTGTGTGTGTGTGTGTGTGTCTGTGTGTGTGTGTGTGTTTTAATAGTGGCTATGCATGCAATCTTAATCTGAATAAAAAGACCAGTTCACTTGCTATTTTGAAAGATAAAGCAGCTACTAAATTTACTGGATGTTCTTCTTAGAGTTGGTTACAATTCCCACTTCAGTCCAGTTTGAATGGAATATCAGTGATATTCACTTTTGGATTATATATGGGCATTCTCAGGTGATGCCATTTAACACACCAGTTCTTAGTCATGTTTCCTTTAAGTTCAGTTGTACTTTCACCTGTACTGAATTTATCCTGGAGCCTCTTTTAGTATGGCCATTCAACAAAAGTTAGAATGCTTTTGTAGGAATAATTGAAGTAAATTGAGTTGGGTTTAGTACCTCATGAAAATTTTCCACAAAGTATTCCCAAGAGCTTGCCTTGGCAATGTTAGAATCCAGAAGGATTTTTAAAAATTGACAGTAGACTTTCAAATGGCTGCTCTTCATAGTGTTGTTTTTCAATATAATGCATCGATTTAAAAAATATATTATTTTTCTCAGTATTTAATACAAAAGCCCTGCACATCCTCATTGTACCTAAAAGGTACACCTCTAATGCACCATATCTCCTCAGGTGTCTGTTCTATAAATAACATCCAAGGATACCATAGTCTACTTGGTTTTTGACTTGTGAATCAAGGTTTTAATTATATCATTTTTGTTAGAAATATTGTCTCTGCTTTCAAATAGCTTCACTTCTGAGAGTGAATGTCCCTTTCCTTCATGTGCAAATGTCCCCAACACTTGAACCATTAAACTTAAAGGACCAAATAACAAATGAAATTAGAAAAAGCTGTGAGCTAGCTCAGTGTAGTTGAAGAGTGCACACACTAATCCAATGAATTACAAAACATCACATGGTCGGAAAATAAGTACATAATGTTTGGGATAGAGAGAAGGATTGAATCCAATAGTGGTGTGTGTGTGTGTGTGTGTGTGTGTGTGTGTGTGTAATTCACTTGAGAAATTATGTCTAAAAATAACCCAGTCTTAAATGAAATGCCAAGATATTTTCTTTTGAAGGTGATGCACTTTGATTCATGATTTACCTCTTCTTGAAGTAGCAGATTTCCCAAAACCTTCAATCAGTCAAATTGGAAAATTCTAGTAGACATACCACAAACTCTAACCCTTACCAAACATTATCAGGGTTTAAAAAAAGTTCTTTTCATTATTCTTGGGGTCGGACTGGATAATTCATAAAGGTTTGTTTCCCACTGGATTAAAGTTTTTGAAGAGCCACGTTATTTTTTCCAAATCTAGAATTTGTGTGGTCAGTGTATCAGTCAGGGTGCAGGAAGAAAAATGGAAACCACTCTAGACTTTCAATAAGGAGAACTTACCATATGGAATTTCTTAAGCTGGTGTTGATGTGAAACACTGTTGGTACGGTGCTCATATGAAAAGCAAGCAAAAAAGAAAGAAAGGGGTCCCTTATCCCTTCCTCATGTATCCCAGAGCCCCCTATTTGCAGAACTATCACAAGAAGACAGCTGACAAAAGGGAGATGGCATTTAAAAGTTCCTCTCCAAATATAACCTAGTCGAGTACAGCACGGTGAACTTATAGTTGAGAGACARTAATCCAATTGTCAAGTTGAAACCTCAACAGGGACAGCTCTGCACAGCTCATCAGGCAATTAGCAAGCTCTTAGTGTTTYTTCTACATTTCTTTTGTGATCTTGTAATCAGATGCAAGGGGGGTGCCATAAATAATTACTAATTAATAATAGCCAACCGCCAATATTTGAAGATCATTGATTTATTTTTCAAAAATTCAAGACTGCATTTGCAGTACCATGCTCATTCTTGAACCAATCACCATCTTTAAGCAATCACCTATAATCCTACATGTGTGGTGGGGCTAAGAAGCTGGGGCATCTTCTATTTATTTTATTCTACCAGAGAAAGGCAGAGGAGACTCAGATCTGTACAGAGACAGATCAAAGAAGTGACTATACTCATGGCTAATGCTGCATGATGAGGGTGGATTTCATCATTCTTGCTAGTCACAGGCTGCACAAACACAGATAAGACAGAGATGACTAGATTGGTGAAGGGCCACTGTTTTTATGAAGGCTCCTTGAGAAGGGTTAGGACTTTGCAGGCACATGTCTAATCTGGAGATGCCCTTTGAAATTCTTACAGCCTTCCAAAACCATCTCAGAATGATTGGAATCCCTACCTGCTGGTTTCTCCTTCTTTTCCTTCCTATTATGGAGACTTGCTCCTTTACCTAGTCCCCTCCCACCAGCTTTGCTTTCCTAGAAGATGAGAAAGGGGCGAGGGATCCACTATGCATTATCCACTGATGTATTTTTCATGCAGTGTGGTTCATGATTCCAGTAAATGTTTTCATTTTACTACAAGAAAAAAGTAGCCAGTTCCTCAGTAAATGTTACTTGTATATTAGTTGGGCACTTTTGGTTTATTAATGAGTGTAATCATGAAAGTGCGGGCTGTTGAAAAGAATCAATGGGTGTTTTTATTTAAGGCACAGCAGAAATGGTACAATGCCTGTGAATGCATCATTGTCGCTGAAGGCCCGACTCGTCCAAACTTGCCTCTGATTGGTTTAAATCAAATAGGTCCAAGCACTTCATAAAAATGTCTTTGTCAGCCTGGTTTTGCTTCCAAACCTATTCATCTCTGTCAGTTTTTAATATTAGTACCAGGCTCCTGGCCATAGTCCATTAGTACTGTACTTAATTGCTCATGTTACAGATGATTACCAATATAAAAAGCATTAATGTGTTCCCATCGCAAGGCTGTTGCTATGTAGATGTCTCAAACTCAGCAAAGCTTATGAAATGTGGTTATTCTGGACATTTCTTGCTCAGGATTTATAGATAAAGTTACTATAGATTATAGCGCAAAGAAAAATGCCCACATCCTCCTAGGCACAGATCCCTTCTAAGTGGAACATTTTCTTTTTGTCCAACTCTTTACCTAAGACRTCCCAAATCATTTTATCAGTAAAGGAAACCAAAAGGAAAATGGCTACATTTATGGAATTTTAGCTTGATTTTTCTGGAATGGTAATGCACTTTAAAGGCTTTGTTTTCACATGCAGATTTCTTTCTTTCTCTCCCTCTCTCTTTTTCTTTTAAATGTTTTTGAAGCACAAGCAGGGGGAAAAAAAATCTTTACACAGAATACCAGATTACTGGTTTTAATTTTCCTGAATAAATTACATGGTCTGTTTCTGTAGAGCACATGAAGTAGTTATTAGGGATTTTAAAAGGAGCATTAAGGCAAAAGTACTCTGTGATGTGCTTTTCTGAGTATTTAGAAAATCAAAATCATAAACAAATGTATTTGTTTGTGAGGGAAATGAGCAATTACGCTTCATCTTCTTGCATACGTAATGCCCAATTTCAAATTCTAACCTTCTGCTTTTCCCATAAGCATTTCTTGGACAAGACTGTCACTCTGCATGCCTGACGCAGCTTCCTTCTTAGTGTCTTGGGGTGARTTGTGCCCTAGCCAGATGCACTTGGGCAGAAACCGAGTGACAGACAGCTGGAGGGTCTGCCTTGTTTTTGCTAAAGGTGGTAGGCAGGGTAGGGGAGGCTTCATGCTCTGAGTAAGATGAGCATGTGCTTTAGAATAAAGACCAAAAATCTGTCAGTTTCTAAGGAACTCAGCTAATCATGCCATGGCAGCAAGCCAAAGGAAGTCAAGGTGAGTTACAGTTCYGTTCATGTTCAGGACACAATTCCATGAGTTCTTGCTCATTTTGACATCCTTGAAGCTAATAAATACAGAATTGAGAAAGTCCCAGTCAGGACCTCAGAATTTTACATTTGAAAGTTCCCTTAGTACCCACCCTGCTAAGACCACTGCTACTAAAATGAGGTTTTCTAGCCCATCCATGAATTGCTTGCTACAAGTCCATAAAGAAAATAGTAAGCACGACTGCAAATAAGCTTTGATAACACTTTTCCTGAAATTTGCCAGAATAATTTTATGTCTGTTGAATGTAATTTTATGTCTGTTGAATGTAATTAAAAACCAGGGCTTGTGTTTTGTGTGGCTTTATTTTGGGAGCGATAGCTATTGAGGATTGAACTTGGGGGCACTCAGACACTGAGCTACATCCCCAGCCCTACTTTGTATTTTATTTA